GTTCACAAAGCAAATTTACATCTGCTTCCCTGATGATCCACTATCCAACCAGCCAAATTAGAGATATTTTCAGAGACTCCTTCTCTCCCATGGGGTCCTGATGGGGCTCACAACACAGGAAGGCAGACATTAAGCCTTAACTTACAGGGATCTCCGTCATATAATTTATTTTATTTTATTTCCCACCATTTTTCCCTTTTTATCTTTCTAATCTCCAGCACGATCACCCTTTCTCCTCTAAATCCGCATCTGTTCTCCTCCCTCCAGGACCCCTTTGCCTAATTCTTCTGTTTTTTAAATCTAGGTCAGAGTTGGTCACCTTCTTCCAGGATTTGGTATTGATAGTGATACTGGAGATAATAACCCCATAAATATCTACAATTGTTTGCCCTTTACAAAGCTTTTTCATATGCAGTATTATTGTTTGGTCCTTGCCAGAACTCTGAAGTAGGCAGAGGCAGTACAAAGTAAGCAAGGCCCCATTCTACCATGCTATGCTTTTCCTCACAGACTCTTGAATTAAGTCTAATGAATTAAACATAAAGTCACTGCACGTAAAAATCTAACCGAAGCTTCCAGCTTCTATGAAATTAGAGAATATGGGGCTACAGATTCATAAATAGAAAGTTTCATATAAGAAAGATTGTGACTGGTCCCAGGTCATGGGATGTTTTAGTGACAGATCTTTAAAGAAAGCAGCAATTTATTTTGGAAAGCATAAGTATTTAAAGATCTGAATTCAAATAATCCTAGTATTTATGTGATTAAGGTTTACCTGTAAAATAGGGACAATAATGGTATCCAGGTCATGTCTTTATTATGAGGTTTAATAAGATAATAAATGTGTAAAGTGCATTACACAGCATCTGGTATGTAAAACCTGCTCAGTAAATCTACTTTTGCCCTCCTTTATTATCATTATTTATTAAAGACTCAGGAGAAACGTGCATTCCGGCAATCAGCAAATACACAGGATGCTTGATTTGATAACCAGTATCTTAACGCCAGTATAATTTATGTAAGCAATCTCACTCCTCTCCATAGTCACGAAGAAGGGAGCATGGTAAGAGAGAAGAGAACGGAAAAAGTTGTTTGCCGGTGGGGGCAGGTGGGGCAGGGAGGAGAAAGAAATGGGGAATATGCAATTTTTGAGGCACTGTCAGAAGGCAATACGTATTTGAATATATCAAGATCCTGGAAGAGACAAAGACAGAAGCTATTTCACCACTTTGTTGAGTTTGTCCAGGGGAGTTATCAGATATTCTTTTTCCCTAGGACAGCGATTCTACAATAAAATTGTCCTTCAGAGACGATCACTTTACTGCGACTCAAATAATCTATTTTACAGCTTCCTCCTTCAGTTATTCCCTGCTTGAATGGGAGGTAGACTGAAATTCATCAAGACATACTATTTCCTATAGTTCGGAGAGTATAAGCTTTGGAGTTGAGACACTACTTTCATTTCCTCCACCATGCTAAAGACTTTTTTGCTTCAGTGTCCAGCAGTGAAATGAAGGTAGTATTTTGATAGCAGTGATGGCAAACATCAGCAGATTCAACAAAAGTAGTTCACTAAAAAAAAAAAAAAAAAGTTCACTAAAGCTCAAAAAACAAAACAAACCACGCATTCATCAATCTCTACAACAACAACAACAACAACAGCAACAAAATCAACAATATCAACCTCAGAAAGAATAAACTATACCCTAACTCCCATAGTATACAAGCCCAGGTACCCAAAGGAATAAAATGAGAATTCAGAAAGGACAACACTTAAGATTAAACCATAGTTCTACTCCACTCTGCCATAACTGGTTGATGTACCAGTTGAATCCCACACATCCTTTATCTTATAAAAAAAAAAAAAGAAAGAAAAAGTTCTCCAAATTTTATAGCCACTGTCTGGGTGGAATGTGCTGTTGATTCTTGTATCCTGCCTGTCAATGTCAGGAACATGTGCTCACTGGGATCAATAGATTGTGTCTTAACCTCACTTCTTACTACAAGCTTTGAACCCGGGTACTCATGTGTTCAACACTCATAAACAGCATCTCTATCCCCAAATTTTGACCTGTTACTGGTTCTCAGAAACCTTAATCTATTCTTCACTTTGTAGCAGTGGGGAAATGAAACTCAGTTGGCTGTGCATGAACTGTAGGGCCTATCCACTGTGACGTGTCCAGCGTAAAAGGCTTTTGCCCGGAACTTTGATGATTTGGGACATGATGGCAAAGGAGGGATCAGTCCATAGTGTGTCTGAGCCTTTGTGCCTTCCAAAACTGGGAAGCAGAAGAAAAGCTAATCTACTGGCTTTTTCCTCTTTGTTTTCCAGCATCAGGCAAGGTCGATATAAAATTGGATATGAAATGATGAAACAGCAAAACAGCTCTGTGCTCACGGTGTGTACGTACCCGATAAATACTGATTTCTTTCTGAGGACTGGGTACAAGGCTAAGTATGCAACATGCCTTATCTACTTGGCTCCTCCTACCAATGTTATGTGGTTAAAGAATGAGGAAACTAAAGCACAGAGAGGTTAAGTGACTTGTCCAAGAACATGCAACTGCTAAGTCGAAAAGTTACAATGGGAATCTGGCTGAAGAGTCTACACTCATGACCACTTCTATATAATATGTATCCTTATTCATCCAATCTACACATTGTCCTTAAAGTCAACATGGGTTCATAGTCCCCATGCAAAAATTTCATGGATTGCAAGGATCTATAACCCATCCACAAATGGAGAATCATTGATCTAATCCTACCTCTAGAAATTGTAGAAAATGCAGTCCTACGATTTTTTCTTGTTTTTGGAAATGGCATTTCAATCCACAGCCACAATGCTATGAGCACTGTGGACATACTAGTTATGTATATTTCATTGATGTACCTAAAAAAGAAGAGAGAAGAGAGAGAGAGATTCTTGCCTTTTTACTCTGGATTCTTAGGGCGAGGAGGACACCAGCTCCTGCCACCTTGAATAGGAGTCTGCTCAGGAAAGAGCTCTGAATAGCTGGTGCTGACTGCCTGGTGAATTTTCACAATAACGTCAGTGTCTTTAATAATTTTAAAATGTCTTGATTTGAATGGTTACCTGCTTTGGGTGGATCATCAAGAAATAAATAGAAGCTCCTAGGACTCCCAAAGTAAATGCACTCAGGAAAGAATGGAGACAGGGGTTATGCAAGCTAAAACTTTAGGTGTGGACAGAGATTCTTCCCCCAGAAAAAGAAAAATGAGACTTCAGGAAATAATCCCAAGGTTGATACTTTCCCTTCCATTTTTAGAGACTAACTTCTGTCTATCGTGGAAAGGAGAATCGGTGGAATTTTTCACAGAAATAAGGATTTGAATGGAGACTAGCTGTAAAATATACTTCTGACACCTGATTTTATTTTATTTTATCTTTTTATTTTAAAAAAGTATTAATTTATTTATTTTTGGCTGCTTCGGGTCTTAGTTGTGGCACGCAGGACCTTTTGATGTGGCACGCGGGCTTCTCTCCGGTTGCGGCATGCGTCCTTAGTTGCCCTGCGGTATGTGAGATCTCAGTTCCCCGACCAGGGATCGAACCCGCGTCCCCTGCATTGGAAGGTGGATTCTTAACCACTGGACCACTAGGGAAGTCCCCTGACACCTGATTTTAATAACAAAATATGCTATAGCTCAAATTCAAAAATGATCTTACTATTTGGATATTACAAGTTGATATAGATAGAGCTAATATCTTACAGACTACTTATAGACAATATTCTACAGATTGGTTATAGACAGGTCTACGAGATAGCTAATTAAAGGTCATCAGTGGAAGCCTAGAGGTCAAAGGGTCTGGGTCAGGTTCATGGTCATGTACTGAGTGAACATAAAAATGCAATAGACTGGGAAAAGATTTCCTAACTAGTGATACAATTCTGAGGTATCCCCTAAACCTATAAAATACAGAGAAAATCCTTGAGTAGGTCTCCTAAAATTCCTCCAGGCTGGACCACTGACTGAGGTTAATCCCTACTGTTTTATAGAGTATATTGTGGGCAGCTGGGGTGTCAAGCTGCCTGTCTTTGAGATGTGAAACCAGTTATTCACCTTCCAGTTGAGGCATCTCTGCAGGGCCTTGTAGTTAGGAAACAGTCTGAACCATAAGGTGCACTCAGGCAGATTGACCCGGACCTTTGCCTTATAAATACTGTGTTCCAGCCAAGGGACCCAGAGGGCCTCCGGCTTGC